ATTTTGGCAAGACATTGATATTAAGTATGTATATATATATACATACATACATATATATATATATATATGTATGTATATATGTATGTATATATATATATATATATGTATATATATGTATGTATATATATGTATATATGTATGTATATATGTATGTATATATATATATATATATGTATATATATATATATATATATATATATATATATATATATATATATATATATATATATGTATATATATATATATATATATGTATATATATATATATATGTATATATATATATGTATGTATATGTATCTATATATATACATACATACATATATATATATATATATGTATGTATATATGTATGTATATATATATAAAATCATCGTTAATGTTAAAATAAAGACAAAGGGCTGGCTCTAGCAAACTCAAGTGCTTGATTTCGTGCTATCCTAGAGATTTTTGGTGCAACAAACGCAGACAAATTGCTCTGAAACCCTAGCAATCTAGAAACTAGAAACATTAAACCAGCCAATTGCAATATAGTAGAATTACTCTAAAGTATAGTTTTTGTCAGGGCTTCTCGTGGCTCAAATAGCACTTACAGCGTCCACTTAAGGCTCAACTAAAACAATCTAACCTTGAGCTTTAAAGCAAAATTCATCAACACAATTCTTTGATGACTTCGCTCATTCTCTCTCTTCTAACCAACGCAGCCCTTGAGCTTCATCCTGAGAAGCTCGGGAAGCTCCCTCTCAAACTCTCCAACAAACTGGTCCACGACTTCACGACAGAACCCGCTCACAATCATTGCTGCTGCTACGTCCTCGCTGATGCCTCGCTGCCTGAAGTAGAACAGCTGCTCGTCGCCCACCTTGGACGTGCTCGCCTCGTGCTCGATCCGGGAGCTCGGATTCCGTCCCTGATGATCCAAAAGTTCCATACAAACTCGTGAAACCTGTAAACGTGCAATGGAGCTCATATACCTGGATGACTGGAAAGGTGCTCGCAGTAGACTTGTTTCCAATGAGCAGCGAGTCGCACTGCGAGAAGTTCCTGGCTCCAGCTGCCGAGGGCTGGATCTGCACGAGCCCCCGGTAGCAATTCGTGGAGTTTCCAGCCGAGACTCCCTTGCTCACGATGAAGCTCTTGGTGTTCTTCCCAAGGTGGATCATCTTGCTGCCCGTGTCGGCCTGCTGCTGGTTTTGTGTCAATGCCACCGAGTGAAACTTCCCCACGGAGCCATCGCCTCGCAGCACAACGCTAGGATACTTCCAAGTGATCGCGGACCCAGTCTCAACTTGCGACCACGATATCTCCGACTTCTCTCCGTCACAAAGTCCCCTCTTGGTCACGAAGTTGTAAATCCCACCGCGTCCCTGGAGCAACACCTCACGATCAAACCAAGGAGGTAACGTCAAACCCGAAGGAGAGAACCTGCTGATCACCGGAGTACCAGTTTTGCACCGTGTAGTAGTCGATCTTTGCGTTCCTCGCGCAGTAGAGCTCCACGACCGCGGCATGGAGCTGGTTTGTGTCGTGAGCCGTGGCCGTGCAGCCCTCGAGGTACGTCAGGTGACCACCCTCCTCGACCACGATCAAAGTTCGCTCGAATTGCCCAGTCTCTGGCGCGTTGATCCGGAACTGCGTGGAGAGAGGGATGCTCACTCCTCCCCCGGCCTTCACGTAGCAAAACGATCCATCGCTAAACACCGCCGAGTTGAGAGCCGCGTAGAAGTTGTCCGAGGCCGGAACCACGCGGCCGAGGTTGTCCCGGACGACCTCCGGGAACTCGCGCACGGCCTGGGAGAGCGAGCGGAAGAAGACACCGCCGTCCTCGAGCTCCCGCTGGTGGGTCAACGCCACGGACGTGCTGTCAAAGACGGCGTCAACGGCCATTGACCGGGGCTTAGACCCGGGCTTTGACTCGGGTGGCGGCCCCAGGTCAACGCCCAGGCGCTGGTATGCGTCGACGATGGCGGCGTGCTCCGAGGGCTTGGGCTCCGAGTAGTAGCTCATGTCCTGGAAGTCAACGGGCGGGTGGCGAAGCTCCGACCACGAGGGCGGTGCCATCTTTTGCCACTTGTGGAAGGCGTCCATCCGGAAGTCGAGCATCCATGGCGGCTCCTGGCGCTTGCTGGAGATGAGGCGGATCGTCTCCTCGGACAGCCCCTTGGGGATTGATACGGACTCCACCTTGGAAGAGAAGCCCCATTTCCTGCAAGCACCTTCCAACAGAGATTTGATTTGAGTGTGCTCTTACCCGTAGTCACAGTTTAGAAAGCGATCAATGGTGGTAGCGTCTGTTCCCACCGTCGCCATCGGGCTCGTCTCCACGCCCTAGACTTGAGTAGCCCTAAAAATGTATATTATTTTGCGAAAGTAATTATATAGATGTATGACATATTTACTTTGATTTTAAAAACGTTTATAATAGCATATGCTAAAATATCGTAAAAATTAATGGAATATTCTGTTTACTGGAATCATAATTTGTAAAGATATCGGGAATATACGTAATATTTGGCATGAAGTTTCGATGGCGACGCAATAGTTACATGGAATTCTAACCATCTGGTAAGTGTCCACATGGCATTCCGAGTCTCCCAAAGTGAAATATTCAAGGGTGTTCAAACGCAAGTAAAAATGTACATATACCGTGTCGTATTACGCCCTGAATGATTGCAAGTCAGTGCAATGAAACTAAACCAGCTGGAAAACCTTTTACCTTGGAGGAAGATTTCTTTCGTGCCATCTCCTCTCTTCTTTTCTTGCGTCTTGATCCTTTCTCTAGCTCGTGAAAATGCTCTCCCAGTCGGCATTGCTCTTGCCAGGCTCGAGATCGCAGCAGATAGCAAGGATTGCTTCTCGCCCACACCGCTTTCGCGCCCAGCAATCGTTCCCCGGCAATCCAAAAGTCTCAAATCCCATGGATGGCTGGCTCAGGAGCAACGAAGCGCGATCCAAGAACGAAGGATGCGTCGCAGCGGTCACGGGCCACAAAGACGCTGGAGTGCTCGTGGCGGAGGCGTTGAAGCGAATGAGCGCAGCAAGAAGCTTGGAATCCGGGGCCGCTGTGGTGGAATTGGCGTCATCGGGCAAGCTGGAGCTTCTTCCCAATGCTTTCCACCTCGAGTTCCTGGACGACTGCTTCTTGCCCGGCAATTCTTCGATCGGCTTCGCCCAGCATCTCAAAGATCCAAGCTCTTTCAAGATCCTGGCGGCAGATTCTGGGCATGCATGCGCCTTCTGTGGATTCCTCGTCGGCATGGAGCTCGACGTCCTGATCAATGGCCTCGAGGGCGGCGACGGCGACGCTGCATCCGATCTTCTCAAGGTGGTGGAGATTTGCAGGCGGATGGTCGGGCCTTTCGCAGCTATCTGGATCGTTCGAGGAAAGATGTATGCTGCGCGAGATCCCCACGGCTTCCGGATCAAGATTGTGGCTACTGGCTCTCTTCCGACGATCAGAGCATCAATACTGGTGCTTCCGGCCTCAATGCAGCAGTGGTGATTCGAGAGGTCATGCCTGGCGAGCTGGTTTGCATCGACGGCACCGGCACCACGTCCAGCGTCCAATTCAACGCCGGTGAACGATCACTGGAATGTGGCATCGAGGTCTTCATCCAATCGTCATGGAACTACCGGATCCATCGTCTCCGGCAAGCTCTCTGCAAGCGCCTGCCACAGCTTCCGTTACCAGAGGTTTGGATCAGGGCGGTGGTCATAGCCGACGGACGCGAGAATGATCGCTTGGCCGAGGAATTCGCGAAGGCTAAAGGGTTCTCGTATTCCAGAATTGGCCACCATAGCTTTGGAGAGCTTGTGCGAGGCAACCGAGTACTCGTCGTCGGCTCGTCATACCAGAGGGCTCTTGAGAGTGTCACACGTCTCAAGGGAGGAGAGTATGGGCCGGGTGCCATCCATGTCCTACTTTTCTCTCCAGTGGTGACCATGGATTGCTGCTACAGCAAGCTGGCGACCATGGTTTCGCAGCAGGAAGTGGACGTGAAATGGCTTCCGGTGGAGGATTTCTACGACGTCGTGGCCCAGGAAACTGGGAAAACTCCGTGCTGTGCTTGTTTGAGAAACGCCTGAGAGTTTGTAACTTTGGACCATCTGAAATAAAATGTTCTTTTTCGTTTCCTCCCTGGTCAACGAGTCAACGACCATGCCGGGGCGCGGACCGAGGTCAACGGGTGACTCCTCGGACAGCCCTTGGGGCAACCTAAACTTTGAGCGGCATCTCGAATATCCCATGATTATAACTCTTTGACTTTAAAAGAAACGAACGAAACCTTGGTTGATCTTTGTAAGAAACCAGAGTGAAAAAACAAAGTTAGATTGGCGAGTCAGTAACTAACAAGATCATCAATGAACAAACGCTAATCTTGCGAGGTGCTCCACGCACGAGTAGTACTCGAGCTTCCTGATCTTCGACGCCCAAAACGATCCAGGCGTGGAAGAGAAAGGGCTGGATCGTTTCTTCTTGTTGGCTCGTCTGCTGCTGGATTCGTGCTGCTGCTGCTGCTGCCGCTGCTGGTCTCGATTCTCCTCCTGCTCTTCGCTCTCGATCCCTTCGGGGATCGTTTGCAAGGTGGGATTTAGCCTCTTCTGGCGGCGGCGGAGATAGGCGCGCTGCATTTGCTCCTCCTCGCTGATGAGCATCCCATTCCGGACGAGATCTCGCTGGAAGAGCCCGCCCCTTGGCCGGCACCAGCGACCCATTGCCCTAATTCGCCCAAATTCCTAGATTGCCCTCACCGATCGATCCCAATCGGCCAAATCGTTAGCTCCCATCGTTTAGCTCCTATCGCTGGCCGGCTTACCTCATCTCCATCCTGGAAGACGTGGAATAAATCACTGGGGGGCCACGTGTCGTGGATCCCACCAATCGTGACGTGGCTGTGTTTCTTACGCTTTAAATCGTGACGTGGCCGTATGGCGTGTCATTGATGTTGACGTTGGGCTGTACTGCTCAAATGATTTTCCCGCGCTAGGGTTCTTCCGATCGATGGAAGTGATTGAGGTGGAGAACGCCTGGCCGGACGTGGACGGATTCCACACGCGCATTGTGATGGAGACGAGCGCTATCAAGCCGCCGCTCCCGCTCAGGCCGGCGCTGTGCGGGGATATGGATCCGGATCGATCGCTGCTCTCTCTCGGCGGCAGCGATTTTAGCGGTGGTAGCAGCTCGATCTCGCGGAAATCCGTGTCGGGAGCGTCTTCGGCGTCCAAGAAGCTCTGCGTCGAGGTGCCATGGCGATATTTCGAGGTCATGTACAGCGTCAAGAAGAAAAACTCCAGGAAGCCAGGGCCGCGATCCGATGGCGTTCTTGCGGTCCAGGGATCGAGCTACAATCTGCTCGACAATAACGGCAAGTCGATCAGCAAAAGAAAGATTTCGGGAAAAGAAATCAAAGAGAATTCTTCTCTCGAGGTCAGGAGTTCTTTCATTTGATCCGATTAAGAAAATGTCATTATCCTGGCGCAGGTTTTCAACTTTGTGATCGAAGTATTGGACGAGATCCCCGAGGAAGAGTACCTGAGCGGGAAGATCTTCTCAACGAGCAGGCCTACCTTTCCTTCTTCCGAAGGATCGGACATTACTGTCGAGTCCGCTCGGAATCCTGGAAGGTAAATGATTCTAATCATCTTCGATCGTGATTGAATTTATGTGGTCAGAGAAAGGCTGTCTAGGCCAATGCAGATTCTGGAGGTAAATTACGTAAATTTCCATCACAGCCAGTAACTAACGATGGTTGAGCGCAGAAAGACCAGCTTGTCCTCAACATGGCAGAAGTTGCAAATGGCGCTGCTCCAGTCGTTGTTGATCCAGTAAGTTGATATTTACTGTCGCTTGTATTTTCTAAGGTATTTTTTCTGTCAGTACATCGCTTCAAAACTTCGACCGCACCAGAGGGAGGGAGTGAAGTTTATGTACGAGTGCGTCATGGGACTGAGATCTCGCACATTTACTGGCTGTCTACTAGCTGACGAAATGGGTGAGATATCTCGAGTTTTATAGGTTAAATACTTAAGTCGCGAGTTTTTGGGCCAGGTCTCGGGAAAACTGTGCAAGTCATTGCACTGATTTGGACGCTGCTTCGTCAGGTAAATTGTTCTTTTCAGTTTTTGTGCTCGGCTTACATTTGGGTTCATATGGCAAGGGTTCTGGAGGAGTTCCCGCTGTAAGGCGAGCAGCAGTTGTTTGCCCGTTGACGCTAACCCGAAATTGGGGAAAAGAGGTGATTAATAGCTAGAAACGAACAAGCTTAACTGGACAGCATTTCCAGGTGCGTAAGTGGCTGGGCTCGGAAAGGTTGAAAGCAATGGTCGTCGACTGCGCAAGAGAGGTACTTAATACCAGAGAAAACAACTAACTAGATGCTTTCATATTTTAGGCAGCAGAAAAGATAATCGACTTCAAAAACGACAGCTTCTGTCCTCTTTTAATCACGTCGTATGAAATACTAAGGAAGCACAAGGATATTGTTGCCTCGACGAATCTTGAGCTTCTTATCTGCGATGAAGCTCATCGACTGAAAAGCTGGTAATATCTATACACTTGTTTAATTCTTTACAGCGAGAACAACCAATGGCTCAGCAAGGGAAACAAAACGATTGCGTCACTGGCGTCGTTGAACTGCAACAAGAGGATTTTACTCGTAAGATTTTGTAGCCTTCACGGCTTTCTAACGCCTGGCTCTGACTGGCAGACTGGAACACCCGCCCAGAACAACTTAAGCGAGTTTTATGCTTTGCTTGATTTTGCCAATCCAGAGCTATTGGGTTCCTACAACGAGTATAAGAATATCTACGCTTCTCCCATTGAGCAAAGTCGGGATCGCAACGCCAGGTACGTTTTTGAAACTGTGAAGAGGGAATTAATGCTTGTTGTTTGACAGCCACGCTGAGAAAGAATTAGGCTCAGAGAGATCGGAAGAGCTAAAACAAATGACAAGCTTTTGCATTCTTCGAAGGACATCTGAGATAAACAAGGAGCACCTTCCACCGAAATCAGAGTAACCGGTTATTTACAAAAGTTTCTACTGTTTTAGCTTTTTGTTTTGCAGGTACGCCGTGTTTTGCAAACTTCACGATGTTCAGATTAGTCTTTACGAGATATTTGTCAAGTCTCAGGTAAACACTGGCATAGTACTATACTTCTCAGCTGGTCTGTGGCAATGCAGTTCGTACGAACCATGCTAAACTCAGATATTCAACGTGCGCACGTTCTTTCTGCAATTGGAGCGCTGCGTAAACTTTCAAGCCATCCGGGGCTGCTACAGAGTGATATGAAGCACGTTACGAGCGCGGAAATTAAGAATCAACCATTTTTTCATCGCGCCGAAGAATTGCTTGATCTTTCTGATGTCCAAGCATCCTTGAGGTACGACAATTACAGTTAGCCGTGGCCAAGTTGCTACTTGTGCAGAGATGTCGTGAGGCACAATTGGAGCCTATCTGGAAAGTTCGTGTGCTTACAACATCTTCTTTTAGCGACTATACAATGCAACGACAGAATTGTGGTCGCTTCCAACTTCACACAAACCTTGGACTTGATAGAGGTTCGAAGGGCTTACGTTTTTCTGAGTGTTTCTTAATTTTTAAATCTTGCAGGCAATGTGCAATGAACACTCATGGAAGTTCGTTCGACTGGACGGTGGAACCATGATATCGGAAAGACAGCCACTCGTCGAACGGTTCAATCGAAGAATTGGAGAGGCGTCGATCTTCCTCCTGTCCTCCAAAGCTGGTGGAACTGGCCTGAACCTCATTGGGGCAAACAGGCAACAACTATCTGATGTCATCCATCTTCAAGGGAGCTCTGTATAATCTTGTTGTTTGCCTTTCAGGCTCGTTTTAGTCGATCCAGATTGGAATCCAGCAAATGACGCGCAGGTATGAAGACTGATAAGCTGTCCCATCTCACCTTCTCTGGTTCCAGGTGATGAGTCGAATATGGAGAGAAGGCCAGCCGAAACCAGTAAAAATATACAGGCTTCTGTCCACTGGCAGGTACGTCTATGACGTCGAAGTCTCGGCATTAATCGTTGAATTTTCAGCATCGAGGAGAAGATATATCAACGGCAAATCATGAAAAAAGATCTGACGTCTTTCTTTGGTGATCAGTCCACATATCAACCTACCTGTAAAAGAACGAACGACCAGAAGTTTAGCCGGCAGGAACTCAGAGAGCTTTTGAAATTGCCTTCGGTACATTTTTCAGCATTGTTTTCGCAGCAACAAACGTCAAACATTGTTATGCAGGAAACAAAATGCGAGACATATGATCTACTGTGCCGGCTCAACACGCAACTGGAGGACAAATGGAAAGACTCGTCAGGAATGCTGGATGACCACGTCTTACAGAGCGCGGTCGAATCGGGAGTGACTACGTTCGTGTCAGCTGACTCGCCTCAAACGCAACAAAGCAGCGGAGTTCTCGAAAGGTACATAACTTACAATAGACTTTTCTTAGCTTTTACTTGACTGGGGCATCGCAGAGACACAGGCTTGGATTGTGGAGCATGTTAATAGAAAAGCTCGATCGATGAAACTTCACTGCGCCTCCATTAACCAGCACCGCAAGAGAATGAAGATTTCACCTTATCAGGTTAGCTCGGAAAGGAAAGAGAGTTCCTCTCGATAACGTTGTTCTGGCAGGAAAAAGTTAGCTACCATCTCTCTTTAAAACGGGAACCAAAAGCGGCATTGTTCTCAACAAACCAACCGATTGGCGGTTCCATCATCTTGACTTTCAGAGCTAGTTCTAAATAACGCGAAGCTTTCCCAGCAACGTCAGCGACAACAGCTAGGGGACCTGACAACCAAGCAAGGCAAATTTCCCCACCCTTGATATCGATCTTCCACCTTGGGGACTGGGCAACCACGACAGCGAGAGGTATGTAGATTTTATGCTTTCTCTCTTGCTCACGTTACGCTTGACTGGGACTTCCACATTCAGTAAAAGGTAGTGGAGCAAAATTGCGGGCGCTGCTGCTAGTGTTGGTACGTCAATGCTTTTTCACAAGTACTCGACCTTAGCTTGGGAAGCGGTAAGCAAATCTTTATATGATATTAGTTGCTAGTGTTGCCTCCATAATCTCTATTGATTGATGGCTTTGCTTGTCCACCAGGATTAATAAGTGCTTTGCTTTGGTGCTCTAGTCTCTCATTTCGAAGATCCTAAAACAAAAAAACGTTGGTGGAGTGGACGATGGATCGATGGGCGATAGATTTCTTCGATTAATCAAACTTACGAGCGCACACGGAGAAAGAATTGCGCGAGAGCGACGTTTGCGTTGTAGGAAAGGTCAACATACGAATTGCAATCCCGAGTTGATTAAAATCGAAATCAATGCAATCGATACCGGCACCCGATTCGACGGCCGCGATGCGCGCATGCGGCCATCGTAATAAACGGGCATCGGACGGCGGGACGGCCCCGACACGTGGCATGCATTCAGCCACGTGGATGATCGGACGGCCGCTGGCTGTTGGGCGCCGGAATGGCCAGGCGATTCGAGCGCGCACCATGACAAATGCAAAGAAGACGGGGGGGGGGAGGAGCAGGATGGCGATGGCTATGGCGGAGATCGAGAGGCATCTCCCTTGTCGCCGCCTCCTCGTGTAGCTAGCTGCGCTCCAGTCGCGATCGATTTGGCGGTGGCGAAAGGAAAGGGCTGGTGTGGATTTGCCCGAGCCGGAGCTAGGGTTTGAGGCGTTCGTCGCGGAGGTGAGTTCTTGGCGCTCTAGGCGCTGGGGGTACTGATCGAATTTCGGCAGGGGAAGCTCCTGGCTGATCGAATTACTCGAGTAGATACTAGATCGCAGCTGATATTTCGGAGAATCGCGGCTTATGGATGACAAGGAAAAAGGGTATCTGGGCGATGGTTGAAAGGATCATCATCTTCAGCTGCTGCCGCGGTGGCTAGGGATTCAACGGTCGATCGGGGGTGTGGCAGCCATGTCCGGGAAGAAATCCTCGACGCTGACGCCGCTGTGGAGCGTGATCCAAGACATCAAAGGGATTGGAAGCATCTCTAGGAGGAGTTTTGAGGTGAAGCTGCCGACGTATAGTCGATCGAGGTCTCACAGCGCCGCGCAAGATGCCGCTGGCCGGCATCAATTTGGGGAGAGTGGCCAGCAGAGCCGCTGGGCCAACATGCCACCCGAGCTCCTCCGCGACGTGATCCAAAGGGTGGAAGCCAGCGACAAAATGTGGCCATCGCGGAAGAGCGTCGTCGCCTGCGCGGCCGTGTGTAGGAACTGGAGAAAAACGACCAAGGAGATCGTGCAAACTTTGGAGCAGTGTGGAAGATTGACGTTCCCAGTTTCGCTCAAACAAGTAAGTTCTTTCTGTCTTTTTCATTTGAGTCCTCGATCGTCCGGAAGTTCTTTCTCCTTCCTTCATTTGAGTCCTTGATCGTTCAGAACTTCTTTCTCTTTTTTCTTTTTTTAATTTGAGTCCTCGATCCTCCAAAAGTTCTTTCTCTTTCTTTTTTTTTTTCCCATTTGAGTCGTCGATCGTCCAGGAGTTCTTTCTCTTTCTTCTTTTTTTAAATTTGAGTCCTCGATCCTCCAGACTAGTACAAGAAGTCAGGAGATTAGATGCTTTGCTTGTCACGCCCTTTCAAGTTTTCTGGACCCTTCCCAAAGTTTTTGTTTTCTTCTCGAATTAATCTCTCTCTGTTCCTTTGTTTTCTTTTTGTTCGTTCTGAACTTTGTTTGTGCTTGCAGCCTGGGCCGCGAGACGCTACCGTGCAATGCTACCTTAAACGCGACAGGACAACTTCGACGTATTATCTCTATCTGGGTATTACTCCGAGTAAGCCATCCAAAAGTCTCGGCCACTCTGTTTACGTTTCCTCTGAAACAGATGTGCTAGAAAACGGGAAGTTCCTGCTAGCGGCTCGAAAGTTTCGGCGAGCCAGTGGAACGGACTACATCATCTCCACTGATACGGACGACTTCTCTCGTGGGAGCAACACCTACGTTGGAAAGTTGCGGTACGTTTCTTCCTTAAAAACTAGACACTGAAAAGCAGCCTGCGAATCCCCGCTTTTTGCAGATCGAACTTCATGGGCACGAAGTTCACTTTATACGACAGCAACCCTCCGCACGACGGTGCTGTGGCCTCCACAAACAGAGCAGGCCGGAGGATTCTATCCAAGCAAGTCTCTCCAAGAGTTCCAGCCGGGAGCTACAACATCGCCCACATCGCGTACGAGCTCAACGTACTGGGGACAAGGGGCCCCCGGCGCATGGAGTGCACCATTCACTCCATCCCGGCGTCGGCCATGGAGCCCGGGGGATGCGCGCCGACGCCGCTGGAGAGCGCGACTTCCATGGACGAGGCCTCCATGCTCCCGCCGCTGCTTCTCCCGGTGGGGGCCAAGTCCTCCAAGGTGGCGGCGCTGGATGGATTGGAGGGGCTGGAAGTGGCGAGCAAAGGCAAGCCGCTGGTGCTCAAGAACAAGCCGCCGCGATGGCACGACCAGCTCCAGTGCTGGTGTCTAAACTTCCGCGGGCGAGTGACGGTGGCATCGGTGAAGAACTTCCAGCTGGTGGCGGCCACGGAGATCGGGCAGCCGCCGCAGCCGAGCGATCCGGACAACGTCATACTCCAGTTTGGGAAGATCGGCAAGGACACATTCACCATGGATTATAGGTACCCTCTCTCGGCATTCCAGGCATTTGCGATCAGCCTCAGCAGTTTTGATACTAAGGACAGCTTACACTGTACTTATGCCTTGATGTTCTGAAGGAAATGGAATCCAAGATGGACGGAAGGAGATGAAAGGTGGCAAGGAGAAAAAAGGTGGTGGTACATTTGTTTGTGTGATTTCTCAAGATTACTTGTACATAAGGTGGATTTCAAAGTCTCTCTGTTGTCATTGTTTAGTCTTTGCAACCAATGTTTACTAAAAGATTGTGTGAGGTCACCAAATAGCGCACATGGAAACACCACAATATATGATAAAAGCAGAAAAAGTTGGCGGGCTCGGCACCGAACGCACACTTTGATGACACGCCACCAACCTATTTTTTTTTTTTTTCTTGCGTTGTTTTAGTATATATGGTATGGCGATTGAGCTTTCATGTGCAAACGTGCCACGCGGCTTGGCTGTCATGTGTCCCGGGAGACTGAATCCAACCTTGTAATGAAAGAGAAACCAATCTTTGATTATAATAGTGAAAAAGTTTAGAATGAAGTTTGAAGAACGAATTTGCCTGGTAAGCGTCTAAAGTTAAAGATCGAATCACAATCTCAAGCGCTAGACCCGCTCTCTCTTTAAAGGGAAATCCAAATTTTTCCATTGACATCCATTTGATCCGATGCCTCCAGCTGGTCGCCAAAAGACCAACTATGGATTGGAAAAATAGGCGTCTAGTGCACGTCCACGACGTACATACATACATACAATGCATTGGGCAGTAGCATTTTGCACGTGACTCCGCTTTTCGCGGGAACACGTTTTCGCCCGCCAATGCTCCGTCGCACAAACGGAAACACGTGTGGTAAAAGCGCCGTTTGCAAGACGGAGCTCTGTCAGAGAGACGCATTTGTGTCCCTTGTATATATGCCAGGGCCAAGTCCTCCCACTCGGGAAGAAGAAGAAAGAGGTTTTTTTTTTTTATGCTTTCCTTTGTGTGGAGCACGAAATCTCGGCGGAACTTTTCTTCTTCGTCGGCTTGTAATCAAGTAGACTTCTTCCTCCTCTGAAAGATCTCTAGCTCCATTCGTCGAATCTCTTGGTGGGTTTTGGGGGGATTGGAGCGGAAGGAATGCAGCGAAGTGGTCGTGCGCGGCGATGGTGAGTGTTCGCCCCGGAAGGATAGAACAGCACAAGCAGGTCTCCCCGGACAGGATGATGTTTAAAGTTCCAGCGAATTCGCCGCCGCCGCCGCCAAGTTCTTCCTCGCAAGCTCCAGCGGACATGGCAGGCAAGAGGAAGTGGCAGGAGGCTTTCAAAGGGGAGTCGTGTCCATCGTAAGTTGCTTCTGCTCTTGGATCTCTCTAGAATCTTGGGAAGAAGCTCAAACTTTTGGGGCTTTTGATCGCAGTGTGCCCGCACCGCCGCACAGATCGCCGCAGCTCACCATCTTCTACGCTGGCGCGGTGAACGTCTACGACAATGTCCCGGAAAACATGGTAAGCTTGAGAGCAAAATGCGGTTTTTCTTCGTAAAAGGACGATCTTTGAGTGGAAAAAGATGGTCTTTTCGTCCGAAATGCCTAGATCCTGACAGCGCTCTCGTGTCTCCAGGTGAAAGCGCTCATGACACTCGCGGCAGCCAAGAGCTCCAGGCCCGCGGCGCTGATGAACCAGATCGAGCTCCAGCGGAGTTGTAGCAGCAACAAGACGGGATTTGGATTCCAGGCAAACCAATCCAGCTGTAATGGTGGCGGCAGCGCCCGCGCGGGCGTGAAATCGAGCAGCAACGTCGCCAGTAGCAGCACCTCGGGCTCCTTCTCGTTCCCGGTTCTAGAGACCACGAGCACGTCGCTCAGCTTGAATAGCTCGTACAAGGCCGCGAACGAGGAGAGATCTAGCGTGCCAGCTCCAGCTCCAGCGGCAGCGGCAGCTCCAGCGCCGGAACAATCCTCCGGAACAGCGGTGCAAGCATCATCTTCGCCACCTTCTCCGGCGGCTTCTCCGGATCTGCGAGGCATGAGTTCGAGAGCTCGGATGCAAATGCTCCCAGCTGGTAAGATCATAGTCTAGTTCTTGTTTGATTGTCAAGTTGACGCCTTTCCTCCTTCCAGGACTTCCGCAGGCCAGGAGAGCATCGATCCAGCGCTTCCTCCAGAAACGAAAGCAGAAGTGAGTGAGTTTTCTCATTCCCTCTCTCGCGTTTCTCCCGTGTACAGCGATGAGAGAGAGAGAGCGTTCTCCCGTTTGCTCGTCGGTCATTTTTCTTCATGTGTGTGAAACCGGAACGATTTTGTACAGATAGGATCAGTCCTTGGTGCTCCAGTGTCCAGTCACTGACGAGCGATCCACACGTTTTTCAACACCACCTCCGAATTTTTCCCTTAGAAAAAACAGACTTTTCCCCGAGAAAAAACCATTTTTTTAATTTTTTTTTTGGGTGTAGACCAATCTTGTCTAGCCGCAACTTTGTGCAATCTGGCCCCCCCAGTCATGTGTATTCACGTGAATTATTTCGATCCAATGCTTCAAACTTTGCAACATGTTCATCCTCCCAGCTTTATTGTGTTTGGAGTTTTTCTGTGATGCTGATGTAGGGGCACTGTTATTGTGAATAGGCAGGTGAACAACAACGGCGAAGACGACGACGAAGACGCGGCAACGGCGGAGATGAAGCCCACATCGCCACCGCCCGTGGGGCCACCCACGTCCGCATCCACGGCCCACATTGCCGCACAAGTTCCACATTTCCTAAAGAAAAGATAGTACGTTTACGCTAGTGCCACGTCGCTATTAACCCTAATTTCTAAGTCCTGTCCACCTGTAAGAAAAAAGTGGTGACACACAACACACACACACACACACACACACACACACACAGGGTTCTAGGGCTTAGCTAGGGTTTTCTCGGCGCGAGCGATGGCGGCGTGCGCTCCTACTACGGTCGGGCAGCTATCTTCCAGGCTCGTGTCGCGCGCTCCAGCGCAATTCCCCGGCTACATTCTTCTCAGGCCAGTGGTTTTCAGATCGCGAGTCGCGAGAGCGGCAGCGGTGCGCGCGGCGATCGAGCATTTCGACGATGCCGGGGTTGGATTGCAGGGATCGGTGTGCTTTGCTGCTCCGGAGGGCCTGGAGAGCCCACAGGAGGATCTCTCGTCGTGCCCGGCGAGAGGGAGCGTGGGTGTCGTCGAGGCGATGACCGGCAAGACGATCGACCTCAACTCCGGGGAGGTCATCGATGCGGGGATTGGCGGCGACGGGGATATTGGGCAGCGCGGCGGCGGCGATGGCAGGGGAGGTGGCGGCGGAGGGGATGATTCCAGCGATGGAATGGCGAAGAAGCAATCGGGGGCTCTCTCGATGTCACAGAAGCTGACATTGGTCTACGCAGCTCTCGTGGGAGGTAAAGATTTTCTTTTCTGCCATCTCGTCGCTGGAATCGATCGATCAATCGTGGTTTCTCTCTTGCAGTTGGAGGATTGATAGGATTTCTCAAGACCGGCAGCGCGAAATCCCTCTTCTCCGGAGGGATCTCTGCGCTGACACTCCTCACTGTCTACTCACAGCTCCCTCTCAACCCGGTTGGCGCTTCTTCTCTCGGTGTTGGTAAGCTCCACATCTAAGTTTTCCATGTTCTTTCGATTCTTCGCAGGTATATCGCTGCTGCTCCTGTTCGCCATGGGCTCGAGATTCAGAAACTCGGGGAAGTTCTTCCCCGCGGGATTGGTATCGATCGTCTCGTTGATAATGTCCGGCGGATATGTTCATGGAATTCTACGTTCCAAGCACTGAAGATGAAAAAGAGCTCTCCCCTGTTTCTAGGGTTAGGCTTTCCCCTGTTTTAGGGTTAGGGTTTTGCGATCTGTTTTTAGGGCTCATGGCAGTGGCATTGGTGTGTTCTTGGCCGGGGCCGAGGAGCACGAAGGATCACGACGACTACATTCCAATCGAGACGCTCGCGGGTCTCTTGCGGCGATGCATCGGCGACGCGGATCTCGCGCAGGGCAGGCAATTGCACCGGCAGATCGTCAAGCAGGGCCTGGCGCGCAACGATTTGCTCGGGAACTACCTCGTCCAGATGTACTCCAAGTGCCGCAGCCTCGACGACGCCAATGCCGCCTTCTCGGCGCTCAGATCGCGAGGGATCGCGACGTGGAACACGCTCATCGCCGCGCAATCCTCCCCCGCCGCGGTGTTCGATCTCTACACCCGGATGAAGCTCGAGGAGAGGGCGGAGAATCGGCCCAACAAGCTGACGATCATCGCGGTCCTGGGCGCCATCGCTAGCGGCGATCCTTCTTCCTCGTCTTCCTCGCGCGCTCCATCGATCGCACAAGCGAGGATCGTCCACGACGACATCCGCGGCAGCGATCTGGAGCGCGATCTCTTCGTCGCCACCGCGCTGCTGGATGCCTATGGCAAATGCGGCTGCGTGGAGAGCGCGCTGGAGGTGTTCTCGCGGATCCAGGTACCGGATCTCATCTGCTGGAACGCGGCGATCATGGCGTGCGCCGGGAACGACGAGCGCCCGGATCGCGCGCTCCTGCTCGTCCGCCGGATGTGGCTCGAGGGGCTGCTGCCCAACCGCGCCAGCTTCGTGGCGATCCTCAGCTCCTGCGGGGATCACTCGTCCCTGCCGCTGGCACGGTCGATCCACGCCAGAGTCGAGGAATTAGGGTTCTTGGGCGACGTGGTTGTGGCCACCGCGCTCGTCACGATGTATGGGCGGTGTGGCAGCGTCGATGAATCGATTGCGGTGTTTGAGGCGATGGCTGTGAGGAATCACGTCTCGTGGAATGCGATGATCGCAGCATTTGCCCAGTGTGGGCATCGCAGCGCGGCATTTGCGATCTACTGGCGGATGCAGCAAGAGGGATTCCGGCCAAATAAGATCACCTTCGTCACAGCGCTCAAGGCCGCGTGTTCTTCCTCTTCGCAGGATCTTGGAGAGAGCGCGGCGCTCCATGGATGGATCGCCTGCGCTGGACTGGAGGGCGATGTGATGGTGGGCACTGCGCTGGTGACCATGTATGGCTCCACCGGCGCGATCGATCGCGCGAGGGCGGCGTTTGATGCCATCCCCGCCAAGAACATTGTGTCTTGGAACGCGATGCTCACGGCCTATGGCGACAATGGCCGGGCGAGAGAGGCGATGGAGCTCTTCGCGGCCATGAAGAGGCAATCGCTCGCTCCAAACAAGGTGAGCTATCTCGCGGTGCTTGGATGCTGCGAGGATGTGAGCGAGGCGCGATCCATCCACGCCGAGGTTGTGGGGAATGGGCTCTTCGCGCAGGAGTCCTCCATAGCAAACGGGGTGGTGAGGATGTTTGCTCGCTCCGGCAGCCTCGAGGAGGCCGTGGCCGCGTTCGATGCGACCGTGGTGAAAGATAGCGTCTCTTGGAACACAAAGGTGGCGGCGCTGAGCGCTCGCGAGGATCTCCACGGCGCGATCACGGCCTTCTACACGATGCAGCACGAAGGATTCAGGCCGGACAAGTTCACGCTGGTGAGTGTGGTGGATGTCTGCGCAGATCTGGGCACGCTGGAGCTTGGGCGATCGATCCAGCAGCAGCTCTCGGCGGCGATCGAGGTCGAGCGCGACGTGGTGGTGGCGAGCGCGGTGATGAACATGGTGGCGAAGTGTGGGTCATCCGTGGACGAGTGCGAGCGATTGTTCGCGCGAATGCCCGACGATAGAAAGGATCTGGTGGCATGGAACACGATGATCGCGGCGTACGCGCAGCACGGCCATGGCCGGAAGGCGCTCAAGCTCTTCCGGATCATGCAGCAGCGATCGTCGGTGAGACCCGACTCGTCAACTTTCGTGAGCGTTCTATCCGGGTGTAGCCACGCCGGGCTGGTCGAGGATGGAATCCACTGCTTCTTCCTGGCCAGGGAAGTGCTCGGGATCGAGCAGCAACCCGTGGAGCACTACGCCTGCCTGGTAGATGTTCTTGGCCGGATGGGCTACCTCCGCGAGGCCGAGGATTTCATCCGCAAGATGCCGCTTCCAGCAGATTCCGTGGTGTGGACGTCGCTGCTGGGTGCTTGCAGCAGCTATGGCGATCTCGAGGGCGGCGAGCGAGCGGCGCGGGCGTTTATCGAGCTGTACCGGAGCGATTCAGTCGGGTACGTGGTGCTGTCCAACATCTACGCCGCTGCTGGGCGATGGGAGGATTCGATCAGAGTGAGGGAGGACATGGCGGAGAGGCGAGTGAAAAAGAGGGTCCCAGGGAAGAGCTCCATCGTCGTCAAGAACAGGGTGCACGAGTTCTTCGCCAGGGATCGCAGCCACCCCCAGAGTGATGCGATCTACGCGGAGCTGGAGAGGTTGAAGGGATTGATCCGGGAGGCTGGGTACGTCCCGGACACGAGGTTGGTTCTTCACGACGTGGAAGAGGAGCAGAAGGAGCAGCTGCTGTGGTATCACAGCGAGAAGCTGGCGATCGCGTTTGGATTGATCAGTGTTCCTCACCGGCATAGCATCCGCGTGATCAAGAACTTGCGGGTTTGCAAGGATTGCCACACCGCGACTAAGTTTATCGCACGGGTGACGCAAAGAGAGATCGCGGTGAGGGATTGCAATCGGTTCCACCACTTTGGCAAGGATGGCGAGTGTTCGTGTGGAGATTACTGGTAATATCATATTATTTGAAAACCAAAAAATTATTATTTTTTCCTTTTTGTCTCTTTTTCTTTTCGTTTTGTTTTTGTTTATTGAGCTCAAATGATCAAGGCTTGCCCGCAAATATTATGGAACTGTCTCATTCCCAGGATTTCAGGTCACCATTCTCAAGTGATTAGGATGAGGAATGTTCTTACAGATAGTCACCAACATCTGAGGAGCATGTCTAGAGCTGGATTCGGGGACGAATATTGCATGGATCCCGACGCCACAATTCTGTCAAAGACGTGTCAGTGGCCATGACCAGAGCGTTGACAATGGCCTAAGCTGATGGATTTAGGTTTGGCCGAAGCGCGAGGAGGAAAGTCGGATTTCATACAAGCTTGACAATTCAAGCTTAGATTGGTTGTCCTTCAAGCACACTGATCCAAGCCAAGGATCTTAACTGGGATGTGCTAGAGGAGCGCCAGTCATGTGCAAACCAGGTTGAGGCTGTGGATTCGGGTTCCGGACTGCTGCATTCTGATCCAGCCAATAATTACGAGCTTTATCACGAGCTGGAACCGGCTACAGTGGCACCTCAGGGACTGTCCTACACCATATACCGGAGGGGTGCAAAGCCGATGGGATACGAAGAACAACCACGTGAACGTGATTGCATAAGCTTAGCAGCTCCAAGAAAGGCCTTGTCCAAGACAATGATCGCATTGCCTTGTCGAAGGAGAGAATTCAATGTATGTGAACCCGCAGAGGAGCAGAACAAGAAGTCAAGATCACGAGGAGGAGGATGACAAGACGGCCATGAATCACGAACGCAAGAAGACAAGAAATAGTACTATCCCTAGGAAATCATGACTTCTACAGAATCTGATGACAAATGAAATTTTCAAAAGGACTTTTGCCGCGAACGCTAGCGGTGGCCCTGGCACGCTGGTGTCCGTTGATTCTTATCCCGTGGACGGCCATAAGCCCTGTCTCTCACTTTGTGTGCTTGGTGCCATGGTGTTCGTCGTCGACGCACTCGCGCTCAGGCTCATGGGAAGGTCCAGCGATGTGTTTGAAGATTGGAGCGTGCCCTCGATAGAAAGAAGGGAGGCATCAGCGATGTGTTTCCATCACAGGCACCCTCGCTCAAGGCTCTCTTCAACTCCAAGCGAGATGCGCCCATCGATCTTCAGGTATGTTCTCTTCTCTCTCTAGGAATGCTTGCTTTAGAGAAACAAGAACTAACAAGTCCGGATGATCTCTCGCTTGATAATCCGAAACCCCTCTACTCGGCTTCTGGAACACAACTCGAAAGTTTGAAGTTTTGTTGTCTGATTTCCACTCGAAACTAATCACTGGTGTTTCCTCACACCTGTTTGGATCACTATTATCACTACTGCCGTCAAATGGCTATGAGCTAGTCGCAGAGCTCGATGAACTGGATGAAACTTTTCCAACTGATGGTGGTTCCTCCAACGGTGATTCTTCAGGCTTGGCTGCTGCCACAGTTAAGGTCTGGTATCAGTTTTTTCTTGCTGCACTGCTTCTTTGTCTATATGGGACTGATGAAAATTTCTTAAACCAAGAGCGAGAGCTGCTGTATCCTCACTTGGGGTTGTCCCGGCTGCTGAAAGGAGTGAATCGTAGTATCGATCATCCCCCCATGAATCAAAAGGAATACAAGAAATAGGAAAGGAGGAAAGGAGAGAAGGGAAGACATGGAGAAAGGACATGAAAAACCTTCCATACTCTGTTAGCCACGTCCCTTATATCCTACGTTCCGTATGATCCATCACTCCCCTCCCTTACGAAGAACCGACTCTATCCTCAGTGTCTGAAGGGAACACTGGCTGCCACTGAAAAAGTGTGCACAAAGATTCGAGCTCAGCCTGCGTGATCCAAGTGTCCGTTTCAGAACCCGTTCCCTGCCAACGGATGAGAAAGTGAGGGACTGCTCGATGCTCGAAGGATCCGATCTGGAGCCAAGAGCTGCTTATCTTCGAAAGTTACCGAAGGAAGAGGAACTGTGGCCAAAGGTGGAAGAGGTCTGAAGTGCTGCTTCAATTCGGAAACGTGGAACGCATCATGGAGTTTTGTTGAAGCGGGAAGCTTTAGACGAAAAGCAACTTCGTTGATCTTCTCGACCACCAAGAATGGACCAAAGAACCTGGGATGAAGCTTGGAGCGAGCAGCAGCTCTCCTTCCTAAGGTGTATCTCTGAGGACGGAAACGAACATAGACGTAGTCCCCAACCTCAAAAGTCCGTGAAGACCTGTGATGATCAGCGAAACGTTTCATACTATCTCGAGCTGCAATCAGTCACTGGTGGACAAGCTGATGGAGATCTGTCAACACAGACAAGTGCTCGGAAACAATTGGTTCCGTACATGCTGGTACAGGAAAAGGGAGCTTATCCACCTGCCTGCCATATAGAACTGAGAAAGGAGAGGCTCCCAGGGTGCTGTGAAAAGCCATGTTGTACACAAACTCGGCAAAAGGGAGCTACATGTACCAGGATAGTGGAAAATTCGTAGTGTAGCCACGGAGATATGCCTCCAAAGTTTGATTGGTTGGATGGTACACCAAACTAAAGCTCCCAATGTGTTGAAACAGTTGCTGCCAAAAGGAACTGAGAAACTTGGGATCTCGGTCTGAAATAATTTCGTGTGGAAGGCCATGAAAACAAAGGACCTCGGAAAAGAACTGCTCAGCGACCTCCTTGGCTGTAGCAGTGGATTTCATTGGTACAAACCGGCCAACCTTGGTGAAATGGTCCATGATCACAAATATGGCATCGAAATCTCGGACAGAATGAAGACTGACAATAAAATCCATGTTGATACTGTTGAACGGACCAGCTGCCACAGGCAAAGGATGTAACAGTCCAGGATATGGAACCATCTCATGCTTAGTTTGTTGACAAACCAGACATTCACATACCCATTGCTTGACCTCCTTCTGCATTCCTTTCTAGCAGCTAGAGTTGACATTCCTCCCGGATGTCTGGCCACCAAGCCAGAGTGGCACTCACAAAAACCTGTTTGCGGAGGTCATGCCTGTTGCATAAAACAATACACCCCGTCAAGGACATACTTGGAATGATACCTAGCATCCAAAAGAGCCAGGTCATCTTCATACTCATCACAAATGGTCTAGATGAAGTCAGGTTGAAGATGGGAAATTCCATATATAGCAAAACCTTTTGGCTTTGCAAACATGTGTAAAAGAGCATTAGAAATTGTATTGGAAGTACCTAGTTTATATTCAATCATGAAGTCAAGCTGGCCAAGAGAACATTGATGAATGAATGATGTTTGTAAGGGGGGTAGCCATTGTTGCATAAACTTACACAAGTAATTAGCAAAGCCAAAAAAATTTAAATTACAAAATTTTCTTTTTCAATTTGCTAGTTTATTATGTCTATTCAACTACCACTGTCTTGGTCTTAGTTAAGGTCCCTCACTAGAGTTTTTGCTTATTGTACTAGCTTCTACTTGGTTTCAACTACTCATTGCATGAGTAACAAAGTGTTAGTTATCCATCCATGAATTCTCCTTAGATTAAACTAAATTTAAAATTCAACTACACTCCTCACAAGCACAAGCAACCAAGCACACCAAGCCTCTAAGTTCTTAACATCTTTTAGTATGACAAAATTTGATCATAGGACCTTCTAAATCCCAAGCCTTAAGTGCATCATTTACTTCGGGACCCTAGGAGGAAACACCATAGCCTAATGGCCTAATATAAATACCTATATTCCCCCACTTCCATCCCAAAGGGAAAGCTCAAACCCTTAGGAAGGAGCAAGGACCAATAAACCACAAAGTACTTAATTAGGGCACCACTCCATAAGAGGCAAGAGCATTGCAGTTAATTTCCCTTTTAAAAGTGGAAGTTGCTCTTGAGCACTTTTTTGGGTGGCCCCTTTGGCACCACTTGAGTGCATGCTCACTCCCACCAAGGCCTCTAAGCCTTAGTCTCAACCTCAAGTTGGTTTGAAAACACCACTAGAAAGTTCCTTCAAAATTAGTTCCTAGATTTCACTATACTTTTGGAACCCCCTACAATGCCCAAATAAGTGATCTTTATCATCCTAAAATCACACTTAGAAAGTTTAACTACCATGCCATAGGCTTCAAGCACAACTAGGATACGACTTAATTGTGCAAGATGTTCATCCCACAAACTGCTGTAGATTAAAATATTGTCAACAAACACCACCATAAACTTCAATAAGAATGCTCCTAAAACTTTGTTCATGACAACTTGAAATGTAACAGGGGCATTAGTAAGTCAAAATGGCATACCACAAAATTGGAAAAGTATAAGTGTGGAATGCTGTTTTGTGTTGATCCTCATAGACTACTCCAATTTGATAATAACCGAATGGAGATTAATCTTGCTGAATATGTGCACTTGACCTAGCTCATCCATGAGGTCATCAATGCAAGGAATTGGAAATCTGTTTTTGATGGTCACCTTGTTAAGAGCACAGTAATCTAGACATAGTCTCCATGAACTATCTTTGTTTAGCACCAGCAACACATGTGATGCAAAAGCACTAGTGCTCTCTGTGATCAGTCCTTGTTGTAGAAGATCCTCCACCATCTTATGAACAATTTCTAGCTCCTCCCTTATCATCCTAATGATCAGTTGAATGATAGATGTTACCCCTAGTTCTAAGTCGATACGATGCTATACTCTTGTGCAAACGCTCACCAATTCTAATACTAAGTGTTGGAAAACTGGAAGATGACGCAAGCATTGTTGGTCCTAACCACGTTCAGCCAGGATCCCAACTGCTGCTGAATGCGATCGGACAGCTCCATTTGGTGATTTTAATGGCAATTGCAGGGGCTAGATTTCTGATACCACTGCAGCAATCGCTATCACCACTACATCTCTACTACTTTGCTGGTTCTCCTGCTGCTATGGAGCAATCCATCTGTGAATGCCTAGCAAGGCTACATCGAATCCGACCAACTCCACTTCCTGCCAGGCCTACGCAGCAAATTGAGCTCTCTAGGGCAACACTCTCTAGTCAACTTTTGATTGAGCGTGGAGCAGCTTGCCGAGGCTTCG